GGAGCAGGAAGTCAACCACTCTCCACGGACGACTATGGAGTACGTGTATCAGCCAAACTGCGGAGAAAACACGTTCCCCCCGTCCGGACTTTCTCCAAGGAACTCTCACAGACGATAAGCTCCCCTTTCGACTTGCTCCCATTTTGCATTGTATTTATTTTCATACGTGTGGGATCTCACCACATCGTCAACTGTACTAAAAACTTTCACTAGTGCATATACCTTCTGATTTGTATTATGGCCATCATCAACAGTGCACTAACAGATTCGATAGCCTGTCTCATGAGAAGGACAACTACAAACTGGCAAAGGGGCATGTCTAGTCTAGTTTGAATGCCTTTCAGTGACTACTGAGCAAAAGAAGGCAAGTTAAAGAGGGAATGCGTTTGAGTTTAACTCGCTCCATCCATTCAATTCAGCATGACAGTGAATCATGCACTTTCTCCTAATGACACGCAGTTGAACTTTTGTATTGTACATGGCTACGCTGTGAAGTTAATTCCACTCAGTGGAGACAAACGAAAAAGGCCATCGTGTGTCTAAAGGAGATTTAGTTGCGAACGCAAACTTACAGTGTAATTGTATCGTACCGTTCTGGCTTTCAATGCTCAATCGGAGTTTTCCTGAAATCAAACCAAAAATGAAGGTGTTAACCGATGAAGAAGTTAACCGATGAAATGGCTTAGAGTTATTGCTTACGAAGGGGATATCCCAACAACTGGCTTCAATACCTGCGTTGGTACTAGGCTTTTATTTTACGCGAACCGAAATTTCTTCACAATTCTTACATCGTATCAATTAGGGTCTGCAGAGTGCCGATAGGGGAACTCCTCAGGAGGGAACACTCGGCTCCAAAGAGATTCAGGGGAGCGACTTTTTCGTCGATCCTCTGGAATGTGACCGATTAAAACAAAATCAACAATGTAAAGAGGAGTCGTTCAAATATGCTTTCCAATAGAAATTCGAGAAGCTATTCGACAAGTGGACCATTTCACGCCTGCACAAAAAACTCCAATACTGGAAGCGAAGTGAATCCAGAAGCACTTTTTC